AAGGCATGAAAGATAAGATTTACTCATGTGTCTGATTAGTTGACCTTCTATTTGGCGTCAGTATTTGAAGTCCAATGATTTTTGATGTTGGAATCCAGTCTTGAATATTTGTAGAATTGTCAGTTATGTATAGAATATTTCCCCTGATTAATCTCTTAAATAAAAATTCCTATTACCATAACCCCAGTATATTCACCTTTCTGAGACACTAATGGCAGAGTGAGATAATTTGCTATTTAACACACAAAGCTACTATTAAATAATTTATTTAATTTACACTTGGCATTTTATATTGCCCAGTAAACCATATATTTCTTTGCACAGTTTTGCATTGTCAGAAGGTACCATCATTTTAAATATTTTGTCTTCCATTCTCTGTTATAATAACATACCACAGTCAAATTAATACCACAGTCAAAACAATGCCAAAAAAACAACAAGCACACTTCAAGCTGTTGGCCCTTTCAATTAAAACTGGCCTTAATCGGGGCCCACCTGATTAATCAAGTAAGAGTGAAATTCCATCCATGTCTACTCAGAAGCAAATCCCCTTTAATTCAACAGTGATACCCTGATAAATGTGTGTAGGATTAGAGGCTAAAGTTTTAGATAATTAATCTACTGCTTAAAATGATTTAAGTTTGCAGCTCTAACTGACAGAAATTGATAGCTGACATGCAGTATGGCATTTTATAGCTGACACTGAATGGATTTAGTATTTGACAAGCATTATTGGAACTCTGACAATATTTAATAAGTGGGAGTTTAAGGCATTTGGTAATTTACACTTGACAACAATAAATAAACAGATATGAAACTGCCAACACATTTTAAAGAACATCTATTTTAACACCCCCCCCTTGTGATCAAATTGAAAGTTTGTAATGTAAAATCTCCATTTATGTATGACTCTTGCTCGGATTTAGATTGTTATGCAGATTAAAAGGAATAACAACAAATTAAAGTCAAAAGTAATGAAATTAGGCTTTTTATTTCTCCCCTCTTAGTCAGTTTTGAAGTTCTCCTCTATTTTACCTCTTCACCAAGTTTTCCCTCTTCTCCACTAAAATTATCCTCAAGACCACCTTTAAAGCAAAAACCTTCTCTAAAGCATCCCAATATCACTTTGAGCCTTTTACAGCTGCATGGCAAGCAGAAATTATTGAGCAGGTGAACCTGTCTCCCAATGATAGCCGTCCCTGTCCTCTGACTGCACACGCAAGATCTCCCTGGAGATGAAGAAAGGTTAATAATACCCTAACACTGCAACACAAACAATGGACGATCTACACACAACTTTCCGTGAACTTTCACTTTCATTGATATGCCTAGTCTTACCCTTGAATAGAAAACAATATATAAAGGGGAATCCCTGGTGATGTTATTTTCTGTATTGAGAAATTTACTTTTTTAATTATAAAATAACCCCATTTTTTTAAAAAAAGAGAGGAATTAGCTAGGTTTAGCTAGGAAGATTCATCATGGAGATTGAGGTTAATTAACTATGGCAATTGGCCAATAAAGCTCTGACCTTAAATGAGTTAACAGTTGCTACTCTGCTGCCACTGCAATGCCCGACTCCTTGTAGGTGTGATCGGAGTCCAGGTAGACCAGGCATCCCTCCATAAACCTTTGTTCCCAGACTTGTATCTACCTTAGAGGAAGGTGCGGAACCCAGAGATCAGAGAAAGATAGCTTGCTACCAAAACCATATGTGATTACCTCTTTCTTCATCACCAGCAAATCACAGCTTCTTAAAAGGCGGAGTATGCACCTCTTTGCCCAGCTTGTCAAAAACTTGAGAGATCCATGGCCAGGGTCCATGGGAACTGTATAACTAGTTCCCAAGGGGTAATTGGACTTGTGTTTTGCAAACACCTGCTCCAAGCTGGTGAGGGCAAACCCCTCTGGAAGAGAATTGAGAAAGCAGTTTCGAATATGACATAGCAGTTGGTGGGGTGGTGGATAGTCAATAGCCCTGGTTAACTCCACATTCCAGTGGGCCACCAAGGAATCAGCTGAAAGGCCATCAACATGGGATAAAACATCCCCTACCACTCTCTGGAAACCATTTGGATCCATTAAGTGGCTGGGGCAGACCATCTGAATCAGTCCCACCTCCCTGCAGAGGGGAAGGGTTGCGGAGAAGTCCAGTTGCACTAGGAAGTGATCTAACCATGACACTTCTTTTGTTTCACTTTTGTTTCCCCAGCCACTCTGGGCGGCTTCCAACAAAACATTAAAATACAATAATCTATTAAACATTAAAAGCTTCCCTAAACAGGGCTGCCTTCAGCTGTCTTCTAAAAGTCTGGTAGTTGTTTTTCTCCTTGACATCTGGTGGGAGGGCATTGCATAGGGGGGGGGGGTGCCACTACTGAGAAGACCCTCTGCCTAGTTCCCTGTAACTTGGCTTCTTGCAGTGAGGGAACCGCCAGAAGGCCCTTGGCGCTGGATCTCAGTGTCCAGGCAGAACGATGGGGGTGGAGACGCTCCTTCAGATATACTGGACCGAGGCTGTTTAGGGCTTTAAATGTTAGCACCAACACTTTGACTTGCGCTTGGAAACATTGTCGGGTGTCATTGTTCTGCCTGGGGGTTGCCTGGGGTTCGGGGGCTCTCGGCCTGTCCACACAAAACGTAATAAAGATGAATAAATAAATAGATCTTGCATCAGATATCCCACTTCTATACAGTAGACTGGGTTGGATAAGCATGTGTTTATCTCTTCCTTTCTGAAATGGATGTGACTTTAAAGTGATTTGGCTGCCTGATGTGTCATATCTGCTGGGGATGGGGGTGGACCTTGATATGAAAGCTGCATGCAGGGAAGAACACACCACTTCCCTCAGTAGTTTGTTCCAATTACCTTGGGTATAAAATTTGTTCCTGCCAGCCATTTTGACTCCCCCACCCACTAGCTATAATTTCTAACTAAATGGATGGGTGAGTCCGTCCTCCCTGGCGGAGAGTCTGCTTCAGGAAATGGGATTAGGGAAACCTTCTGAAATGTAAGTCAGAGATTGAGTACCACCAGCCCTTGAAAATAATGGCAAGTAGTTTAGATTTGATTAACCGTGCAAAGAGGAGCCAATGGGAGGTGTTCAATGGAAAGAGTGAAAGGGTCAGATCAGCAGCAAGAAAATAATTACTCGCTAATTGACAACACTCAATAGTTGGTAATACGCCTCCCAACATTAATATGAGTTAGCAAGGCACTGCTGCATTTTTTTAAAAAGAAAGTTCAGCTTTATATTCTGAATTCCCATTCAGTAATGGAATGATCACCCCTGTGAATATTTTTCTTGATTCCTATTTAGAGAGAAGGCAGCAATCCAAGCACAGCAGCCTTGTCTTCTGTGCCACGGCATTTTGTACTGACAAACATTCTAATAAATCAACTGAGGCATGGCATATTTCATTTGGATCCTAATTGCAGTTCTCTCTCATTATTGATATTAATGACCCAGTGGTTCTAACAGTTAAGTGACGAACTGAGCAGACAGTATGGTCCATAAGCTTAGCTGTTTTTTTTTCTTTCAAAGATTCAAATGTGAATTAGAATATGCATGCAAATTGGAGCCTAAAAGAAATGGTTGCCTTTCAGCACTATTGAGTTAGCTCATTTTATTGGAAATCAAAGTAACATTAACAAGGCAGTGTGTCTCAGCCACAGCGTTTAATAGTGCCTCATCTCCACCGACTGCACTAGGTGTCACTAAAGGAGCTATTAGGGGCTTTTTTCTGTCTTCTTCTCAAATCTCTTCTATTTCTGTAATTAACAGTTTCCATTATTATTATTTTTAACTTAGTGGGAGAAAACCAAATTGCTGCTTGAATGCAACCCTCTCTTGAATACACAAAAATAAATTTACTTGGGCTAGATTGAAATCCATCCCCACTGAAATATATTGCTACAGTTTTAATGAGGCCAGGCAATTCTGAATTTGAAACCTGCAATGCTTATATTAGGGGTGGGCAGCATTAAAAAAAAAAAAGTTGAATGCTGCAGTACCTTGGAGGCTGAATACTGGGATTGGAATCAAAAGTAGGCAGAGCTGGAGTCAAAAGTGGGGGGGTGTTAGACTCCCAAAATGGGTGGTGCTGAGACCAAAAGGGACCACCCCCTTCTCTCTCCTGGCTGTCACCCTTTTTTCTCTTTCTGGCACTCCCCTCCCTCTCCCTTCTGTGCCATCCCTCTTTCCCCTCTCCTTACCAGCTGCATCTAATTAGGCCAAGGGCTGCATATGGCTCCAAGGCTGAAGGTTGCTGACCCCTAGTCTATGTGGTTAAGCAGAAAAATGGATGTGATGGTACTAAGCAATATCTTCATTTACACACAGCTTCATGCCTGCATTTTTACTTTTGCAGCTCTGCTTTTCTGTCTGTTCTCGGATTTAATGTGAGTTGTTATGTGTTGCCACACATGGCAACTGTTTTACAATCTTTCTCTTCCTGCTTGAAAATGCAGACTTCCAGGAAGAATGTCCCATGGTTCTTTTGGTTAATTTGTGCCATGTCCAGCTGTTCTACCAATGTCCTGAAATCCAGCATTTTCTGTTTTCTGCAACTAGTCCTTTAAAGGTGGACATGCTGTGTGACTGGGTGAGGCAGTATTGTGTAGTGCCACAATGTACTGATGACACTAAATGTAAGATATATTTAATATAACAGGATCAGGTTACATCGCTTCTACTAATGCAACATCATATCCTAAGATAGATTCCAGAATTTTAAAAAATAAAACCTTCTTTCACATATCCTAAAATGTGGAGTTAAAAACAAGATATAGTTCCTTTCTTGATCCATTGAGGTCATTTTGAATTTGAACACTTGAAAGACACTTTGTTCCTTTCCAATCCTGAAATCTGCAGTAAAATATTTGCCAAGCGTTTTTGCTGAAGGCACTGAAGTTCTGGTATGCTCTCCCTGTGGAGATTCATCAGCCTTGCTCTTTACTATCTGTTAGAAATAAATGGAGAATGCTTTTATTTCCTCAGGCTCTTCATCAGGGCCAGCCCAAGAAGTTCTGCTTCCATTGACGAAGGCCAAGATGACACCCTCTCGACTCCGTGTTTCAGAGCCAACTCGACTGGTAGCTAAACCTTATTTCAGCACTGCTGACAGAACAGCATCTTCTGGGCAGGCAGTAAAACACACAGCTCTGTTCTCAAACAGCTCATAGCTGTTGCTCACCCTCAGGATCTCCCACCTGAGGCGACTGCCTCGTTCTCCCTAATAGTAGGGCTGGCCCGGCTTTAAAGATTTTTTTTTTTAAAAAAATTTTTTATTAACAATTTCAACATAACAAATTATCAAAACAAATCATCTTCATTATTCCCCCTTTTCCCCCTCCCACCTCCCCAACAAACCCTCCCCCCTTCCCCCCAAGACTTCCCTCAGCTCCTCTCTCTGATTTCTCAACTCATATTGTTCTCTGCATATTGTAAAATTGTATACATCCTTATATTATCTATCCACTATATTAGCCCAGTAAATTGTGTATGTTTATTCAAAACCTGCCAAGGAGTCCAGTTCATTTTGTTGTCTTTTTAATAGTTTGTAAAGGTTCCCATTCTTCTTAAAGTCACAGTTGTCTTTACAGTGGTGCCCCGCAAGACGAATGCCTCGCAAGACCGAAAACCCGCTAGACGGAAAGGGTTTTCCGTTTTTGAGCTGCTTCGCAAGACGATTTTCCCTAAACGTCTTGCGAGTGTTCCGATTTTCCCCCCGCTTCCCCCTTTTTCTAAGCCGCTAAGCCGCTAATAGCCTTTTAGCCGCTAATCCGCTAATCCTTTAATAGCCGCTAAGCCTTTAATAGCCGCTAAACCGCTAATAGCGCTAATCCGCTAATAGGGTTGCTTCGCAAGACGAAAAAACCGCTAGACGAAGAGACTCGCGGAACGGATTAATTTCGTCTTGCGAGGCACCACTGCATCTCACTATTTACATGTCAGTTTCGCCAGTTCTGCATAGTTCATCAATTTCTCTTGCCACTGTTCTTTTGTCGGGGTTTCCTCATTCTTCCATCCTTGTGCTATCAAGACTCTTGCCGCTGTTGTTGCATACATAAATAAGTTCTTTATTTTCCTTGGCAGGTCTTGTCCAGGCCCTCCTTTTAAAATTTCATTCTGCTGCTGTTTTTTATTTGACTTCTAAGTGGGACAAGTGTTCTGTGGTACAAGCGTACAGTGGTGCCTCGCAAGACGAAAATAATTCGTTCCGCGAGTCTTTTCGTCTTGCAAAGCACGGTCTGTCGCAACTGCGCCTCTTTAAGCGGCTTTAAAAAAAAAGCGCAAGACATTTTCGTCTTGCGAAGCAAGCCCATAGGGAAATTCATCTAGCGAAGCAACGCAAAACCGAAAAACCCTTTCGTCTTGCGGGGCACCACTGTATATCCTTGTGCTGATGTAACAATAGACTTAGCACCATGATGGTAGTTCTCTTCTGTGGTTAAGCTACTCTGGTTGCTTTATGAACAAAATAAATGGTAAAGGGAACCCTGACCATTAGGTCTAGTCGTGAACAACTCTGGGGTTGCAGCACTCATCTCGCTTTATTGGTTGAGGGAGCTGGCGTACAGCTTCCAGTTCATGTGCCCAGCATGACTAAGCCACTTCTGGCGAACCAGAGCAGTGCACAGAAACGCCATTTACCTTCCCACTGGAGTGGTACCTATTTATCTACATGCACTTTGACGTGCTTTCGAACTGCTAGGTTGGCAGGAGCTGGGACTGAGCAACGGGAGCTCACCCCGTCACGGAGATTCGAACTGCCGACCTTCTGATCGGCAAGCCCTAGGCTTCATGGTTCATCCCTCCTATGAACAGAATAATGAGACATAAATTTTAAAATTAGTATTCGTTATCATCCTGATGCAAGCAGTTATTCTACAGCAGAGTTGTAGGTGTAGGTGTTTGCAGACTGATCAATCTGCAACAGAGTGGATAAACGGCCTTGTGGGCAGAACCTGCCCTTTGCCTGAGCTGTAAGTACAGTGCACAGTCTATTTTCTTGTGGGTAGGGAGGGAGGTAGAGTGCGCTGGAGACAAATGAAATTTCTTTGGCTACTTATAAATATACAAATTGAGAGGCAGGCAACCATCTTAAGAGAACAAGGGCTGGTCATTGCATCCTCAGAAGCAAAACAGCATGATTGCTTGGTTTTTCCATGCCTTGGCCCATTTGTAAGCCACCAGCAGAGCATGTTGGATGTGTCTTACCCACAAGCCATGCATGCTCATGGAAGAATGCTCCTAATGGCATCAAGCTTGTGCTTAGGTCCTGCTTACAGGTTTTTCCACTGGCATCTGGTTGGTTGCTGTGAAAATAGGATGCTGAATTAGATGGGCCATTGGCCTAATCCAGCGAGCTCTTCATGCGTTCTTGCATGTTCTTCTTTTCAGATAGCTCCAGAAACGGAAAAGTAACTCTCATTGCATATTAGCAAATGAGAAAGTTACACACAAACTATGGGCCCTCAACAGCATGCAAAAGCATTCTTGCCATAATATATGCCAGAAGAACTCATGCACAACCCTATCAAACCTTTAGTTACGTAAATCCAACTAACAATAACACCCACAGTGTAACTGGCTGTGTTTAACTATATGAATTCTTTATACATCCTATAAGCATGCCTCTTTTCACATTATCAAATTAAGTAGAAGCAATTAAAGACCAACCTTTTGAACAGGAAATACAAATAGATCAGTTCTTATATACGTAATGTCCAAATAGAAGCTTTTTTTGTGCTCCACGTATGTCTTTATGAATACAAGTGACAGACGCGACAACCTTAAGAAGCAGTACTTGCAGAAAATGAACTTGTTCTTTGTAATGTTCCACATATGCCTTTGCAAAGTATAGTTGTTGTATGCAGTTGCTGACTGGGAACAGTTTATGGTCCACCGGTGTTAAGTTTACGGCATGTAATGCCTTAAGAGAAAACATAATGAAAATGATTTACAGGTGGTACATGACCCCAGTCAAGCTTGCGAAAATTTACCATTTGCCCGATAACAAATGTTGGAAATGTAAAGAGACTGAAGGTACCTTCTATCACCTTTGGTGGACATGCCCGAAGATTAAGGCTTTCTGGGAAATGATCTATAATGAAATGATAGATCTATAATGAAATGAAAAAGGTACTTAAAAGTACTTTCCTTAAAAAACCAGAGACCTTTCTCTTGGGCATTGTCGGCCAATTGGTGTCAAAGAGGGATAGAACTTTTTTTATGTATGCTACAACAGCAGCAAGAATACTTATCGCAAAGTATTGGAAGACACAAGATCTACCCACTCTGGAAGAATGGCAGATGAAAGTGATGGACTATATGACACTGGCCGAGATGACAGGCAGAATCCGTGACCAAGGAAAAGAGGCGGTGGAAGAAGAATGGAGAAAATTTAAAAGTTATCTTAAGGACTATTATAAACTTGATGAATGTTAGAGTGTTATGGTTTTCAGGAACAAAGGGATACAGTGATATAAGGTCAGATTATAGAGATAACTAAGGACAGAGGTTGGAAAGTAACAACTGGGAGTTGCTATAAAACTATGGACATTGGGATGCAGAAAGGGGGGGTATGGGGGAGTCTCAGAAAAGAGGTTTATGAAAACATCATGAAACTATACGTGTTTGTATGTCTTTTTAAGTGTTTGTTTGTTTTTAAAATTTTGTAAAACTAATAATTTTTTTTTTTTTTAAAGTAACCCATCAAGTCCAGCATCCTTCTCAACGGCAACAGCTCTCTTCCCTCCAGGGTTTCCAGCACTGCCTCTGACAGCAAGGTTTAGTAGCTAGAGATAGTCTTATCCTTCATGAATTTGCCACTTTGAAACCCTCTTTTTGTGGGGATGATTAGGGAGGCAGGAGAGGATATACAGTGGTACCTCAGATTAAGTACTTAATTCGTTCCGGAGGTCCGTTCTTAACCTGAAACTGTTCTTAACCTGAAGCACCACTTTAGCTAATGGGGCCTCCTGCTGCTGCCGCGCCGCTGGAGCACGATTTCTGTTCTCATCCTGCAGCAAAGTTCTTAACCCGAGGTAATATTTCTAGGTTAGTGGAGTTTGTAAACTGAAGTGTATGTAACCTGAAGCGTATGTAACCTGAGGTACCACTGTATTATTTAATGATATCCTTCCTAACTTGTGCTAGCAAGTTCCATATTCTAGCAGAGTTACAAATATCCCCCTTTTTAAATTACGCAGCGAGCAGCTTGTTGCTGACTCATCTGAGTCTTACTATTAAAGATTCCTTCCTGGTAAAATCATTTCTAATCCCTCTTAAAAACACAAGAATCTTATTAACATTAATATAAAAGTATTAACATTAATATAAAAGTAGTTTGGGACGCGGGTGGCGCTGTGGGTAAAACCTCAGTGCCTAGGACTTGCTGATCGTAAGGTCAGCGGTTCGAATCCGCACCACGGGGTAAGCTCCCGTCGTTCGGTCCCAGCTCCTGCCCACCTAGCAGTTCGAAAGCACGCCTAAGTGCAAGTAGATAAATAGGTACCGCTGTATAGCGGGAAGGTAAACGGCGTTTCCGTGTGCTGCGCTGGTGCTGGCTCTCCAGCTGCAGCTTCGTCACGCTGGCCACGTGACCCGGAAGTGTCTTCAGACGGCTCCGGCTCCTGGCCTCTTGAGTGAGATGAGTGCGCAACCCTAGAGTCTGTCAAGACTGGCCCATACGGGCAGGGGTACCTTTACCTTTACCTTACTAGTTTACTGACAGATTCATTCAGGTTCACAGACATACAGTATACCTGAAGGCAGGCTTAGGTTACATAACAAATAGTAAAGGTAAAGGGACCCCTGACCATTAGGTCCAGTCGTGGCCGACTCTGGGGTTGTGGCGTTCATCTCGCTTTACTGGCTGAGGGAGCCGGCAAACACCTTCCGGGTCATGTGGCCAGCATGACTAAACTGCTTCTGGTGAACCAGAGCAGTGCATGGAAACGCCGTTTACCTTCCCGCCAGAGCGGTACCTATTTATCTACTTGCACTTTGACGTGCTTTTGAACTGCTAGGTTGGCAGGAGCAGGGACTGAGCAACGGGAGCTCACCCCGTTGCAGGGATTCGAACTGCCAACCTTCTGATCAGCAAGCCCAAGAGGCTCAGTGGTTTAACCCACAGCGCCACCCGCGTCCCCAACTAGTACTATTCCACAACAACTAGTACTGTTCCATAAAGAAGTTAGTCCCAAGTGACTGTGACTAAGCAGTCACTTCTCCAAACACACAGCAACATACAAAATGGAGAAGACACACTAATCAGAACATGGAGTCCATGTGCTCCTCCATGCTAGTACAAGAGACCACCCCCTCTTCAAGTCACATGTAGCGGAAGTCTGTCCTAGCTTAGGAGGAAACAGGAAGTCTCCTCCTGAGTGGAACAAAACATTCCCATAACATGTCCACTGTAGGAATGTTGTACTTGACTGCAATTTTGCATCCCACACTTTTAACTACATGGGTTTAAGGGGCTACATGGACAAAGAAAATAATAATAATAATCTGTTTTAATAATCTGTTTTAAAGAAGTTCAGGAAGTTCTATCCCTGTGTCATTTATTAGTCTTGTTTTTCATGTACTATTGCCATGGGAAGCAACAAACGTTCCAGCGGATGTAATGCTTTGCCCATAACTCTTTGCTATGAAATTGTGTTAAGAGCTAGAGGGGAAAAGATGTTTCCTTTTGTTTCTGGACCAGCCACATGATGTCATCCTGGACAATTCTCTTTTCAAATACAGGCTCCTTTTTGATAGGCTGAGAACAACCTGAGCTCAGTGCTTCTACCAAAGTTGAGTAATGGAGTGTGTTCAGCTATAGTGCTTTGTCTTGCACTTTCCCCCCTCTTAATTTATAGATCTAGTTACTGCAAAGTGCAAGAAATGTTAAATCCATATTGGATCTACCTATTTTCAGTCCTCTTGGGCTGTACAATAAAACATCCGCTGCCAGCTGACGTATGAATAGGGAGGGCGCTTCTGTGCCTTTGATTTATGCCTCCCCAAATGGCGAAAGTGTCCAGGAATTTTGTTGTTGTTACAGGATACAATTCCCAAGAGATGCTTTAAAGGAACACAGAGAAGTATTTAGGGGACAGGAAGTTTAATTTGTCTTTCCTATTATTGTTTATGAATGATGAAATTCATAAACAATAAAGAATGTTGTTGCACTTTAACCTCCATTCAATCTTAACCAAAAAAATCACACTAACAGGTTTTTGTGTTTTTTTACTACTCCAGTGAGATTTCTAATGTCTATTTGGGGAGATTTCAGACCCTAGGAATGTTTTTGTGTCTGTAGTGTCAGATGAAGTGTGCTTGACAAAAACAGAACATACAGAGCCAGAAAACGTTTATGTGGAGGTGGTAGAATCATTCTGTGCAGTAAATACTCCCGGATCTTGAATAAATAATAGAATCGTAGAATCATACAATTGGAAGGGATCCTGAGGGTCATCTAGTCCAACCCCCTGCAATGCAGGAATCTCACTTAAAAACCTCCAGTGAAGGGGAGTCCACCACCTCCCGAGGGAGTCCGTTTCACTGTCTTGATGAAGAGCTACCCAACATTGCTGATAACAGAAGGTCCAATGGTGAAATGCGCCACTAATGCAATTCTATAATGAGAGCCCTGTAATGTAATGAACAAACTCTGAAGGATGGGATCTTGTCCCTTTTCAAAATTATTATTATAAACCCTGTGGATTATTTTTCTCCCCTGCTGCAGACGCCGTGGAGAGGAAAGAGAACTTTAAGGATTCCTCATTTATCTTGTTTTTCTGTTTAAGTTTCGAGTTCTTGCAGAGTTCAGGTGTAATCACAGCCTTCTGTTGCAACAGGAACCACCATCTGCTGAGGCATTCTGTAAGCAATCTAACATCTCCCTAGAGATAGTTTAGCATTCAATTCACAAAGAAGGATGGCAGGGACATGTAAACAAAAGGAGACAACTGAAACAGTGAAGAATGGGCTGTGCTCTAAAGATTCAATATGTTCCTTTATAGCGGAAAAAGCCTGTAATGCCATAAAAGCCTGGCAGAGAGTTCTGATGTATTAATTGTCCCCCCCCCCCGCCTCCTCCCTTCTGTGGCTCCATTAGAGAGTTGAAAGCAACAACCTGGGGTTCTCCTCAGCACTCAAACGCTGGGGTTGATAGAAATCCGGGGCATGTCCCTGCTTCTTGCCCGTGTGTGACCTTCCGAGGTATGGTAAGGAAAACAATTAAGGTTTTTCATCACAAGTGTTTCCAGAAAGAAACTAGTTGAGGAAGTCTGAGGAAACTCAACCACAAAGCCTTTTTTAAAACAAAGCACATGGCCTTTGCTTTAACTAGGCTATCTATTAACCTTCTGGTACTTCCAAGTAGAATGATAAAAGTGTGGATTTAAAAACCACATACGTTCAAATAGGTGAGTTGGAGATTTATTTATATTTAAAATATTTTTATTAGCAGTTTCAACATAACAAATTATCAAACCATATAATCACTTGCATTAATTCCCCTCTTCCATCCTCCCCCCCCCGACTTCCCTCACCTCCTCCCTCTGATTTCTCAGCACATATTATTCTCTGCATGTTATAAAATTGTACATATCCTTATCTATCTAACATGTTATCAACCAATAAATTTGTGTATGTTTATTCAAAACCTGCTGAGGAGTCCAGTTCATTTTGTTGTCTTTTTAGATAATTGGTAAAAAGCTCCCATTCTTCCTTAAAGTCACAGTTGTCCATGCCTTGCAATTTATATCTCAATTTAGCCAACTCTGCATAACTCATCAGTTTTTCTTGCCACTGTTCTTTTGTTGGGATTTCCTCATTCTTCCATCCTTGTGCTATCAAGACTCTTCCCGCTGTTGGGTGAATTGGAGATCCCAATATCTATTCATCATTTTGTATATGAACTGTTCTGGTAGGATCAGTCTTTCCAGCAGGCAGTGTGAGTTGGACACCTCAGGCAGCTGACTTTGCATGTCAGGAAAGTGCAGCAATGAATTTGTTGTTGTTGTTTGTTGTTGTACTTCTTTTGCCTCTGGGAAGTAGGCGGGTGCTTGCTGGATTTTGTGCCCCAGGTACCAAAATAACTTTGCATTCCTTGGCTGAGATGGGATGTGGTAACCATTTGCTTTTCCATCCTAGGAAGAAGGAAAAAGTCATTGAATGTTCCTGGAAATGATCGTATTATTCTGGTTTAATGCAGAATGTAAAGATGTGATGTAGCATAGGTAGCTCAAAAAACTGGTGATCGGGTGATAGTACACTGTTTCTGAGCATCAGTACTATAAAGAAGGGTGATATCGTGCTTTAGTTATATTATAGACAGTTGGAAATATGTTGGCATGTGGCTTGGCTTATTTACATTGGCCATTTTGGCAGGTGCTACAGGTATATTCTGCTGCATTTCTTCACACTCATCTGCCTCCTGATTGTCTAAGGTTAAATGACCCCAAATCCTATGTGGAACCTGCCCCCGCCCCAAATCCTTAAGCTAATGCCTTTCATGGGCTTGGATCTAGAGTTCCCATGAGTGGAGTTAGCTCATAAGACAGGCATAGGCAAACTTGGCCCTCCAGATGTTTTGGGACTACAACTCCCATCATCCCTAGCTAACAGGACCCATGGTCAGGGATGATGGGAATTGTAGTCTCAAACCATCTGGAGGGCCGAGTTTGCCCTTGCCTGTCATAGGACATCCCAACTGGAGGAAGTGGGAGGAAATAGCTCTTGCTGATTTGACTTTCCGTTGCAGCTCCTGTGTTGGTAAACCACCTAGAAGAGTGCAGGAAGTAGGGTTGAAAGCTGCAGGAATATGGTGGAAAAGTTGGCTCCACTCTTTTTCTCCAGCAAGGAGCCTCTACTGGACTGCAGTTCCATCATCAAACAGCATCTTTGGATCCAGCCCATAGTGTTTGTGCTTGATGTTTGTGCTGGCTGA